CTGGGGAAAACAGCCACATCTGAGACAAAACATGGGAGAGAGGTACTGCCTGGGGCCTGGTCGCGAAGAGTGAAGAAGCGGGGAGTGGACAAGAGCTGAAGACAGAGGACATGGGTGCGATTGCTTATCCGGGAGAACAGACTGGGTAGCTGGGTGGCGCCATTTACACCTCTTCCTGCCCATGCACACCAACGAGCACTGCAACAATCCACCCCAGTAGGCTAGCAGCACCCTCTAGTGGAGAGCAGAGCTGTTACACTGAGCCCCGTCCAACTGGGCCAACTTAGCTCTTCAAGAACACAAGTCTCACCGCTGGCTTAATTTATGGACTATACAGAACTACAGAGAATGACTTCTAAGGGAAAACAAACCAATTTGAGTCCTACTTCAATCTGTTAGCAGGTTCATCTATTCAATTTTCTTTATTTTTTGTTTTTTCTTTTTCTCTTTCACAATTCTTTTCTTTTACTTGAATACAGAAAGAGAAAAAATTCATTTTTATTTTCCATTTTTATTAAAAATATCTTTAATTTTTATTACTATATTTTTACTTTTGTGTAAATTTTTTCAAATTCTACTTTACTCCCATCATTTTAGTCTACTTCAGTGTATTCACCTTTTCAAATTTTCGAACAGTTTCCATTTTTTTTTCATTTTTTTCTTTTGTTTGTTTTTTCTTAAAAGCAGAAAGAAAAAAACTTCATTTTTACTTTCAATTTCTATTAAAAATATTCTTAATTTTCATTACTATCTGTTTTCCTTTTATGTAATTTTTTTCAAATTCTATTGTATTTCCATCATTTTATTTTAGTCTACTAGAGTGTATTGACTTTTTCAAATTTTGAAATATCTTTTTTCTTTTATCTTTTTTCTCTTTTTTGTTTCTTTTCTTTTTTCTTAAATATAGAAAAAGAAAAAATTCAAATTTATTTTTAATTTTGATTAAAAACATTTTTAATTTTTGTCCTACTATATTCTTTACTTTTGTGTATATTTCTTCAAATTCTATTTTACCCCCATCATCTCATTTTAGTCTACTTCAGTGGATTCATTTTTTCAAATTCTCAATTTCCTTTTTTTTTCTCCCACCCTTTTTTTTTTCTCTAATCTGTCAAACGACTTTCAACACCCAGACCAAAACACACATAGTATGTAGCATCATCTATTCGATTTTTGGTGTGTGTGTGTGTAATTTTTGATTTTAATACTTTTTTAATTTTAATATTTTAATTGCATTTTTCTACCTTATTAATAACTTTTCTCCATTCAAATAGACAAAACGAAGGAATTCAACCCAAAAGAAAGAGCACAAAGAAACAACAGACGGGGATTTAACCAACACAGATACAAGCAAGATGTCTGAACCAGAATTTAGAATCACGATAATAAGAATACTAGCTGGAGTCGAAAATATATATCAGAATCCCTTTCTGCAGAAATAAAAGAAATAAAAAATACCCAGAATGAAATTACAAATGCCATAACTGAGCTGCAATCATGGATGGATGCAGTGGCAGCAAAGACGGAAGAGGCAGAACAGAGAATCGGCGATATAGAGGACAAACTTATAGAGAATAAAAAAGCAGAAAAAAAGAGGGAGATTAAGGCAAAAGAGAATGATTTAAGAAATAGAGAAATCAGTGACTCATTAAAAAGGAACAACATGAGAATCATAGGGGTCCCAGAAGAGGAAGAGAGAGAAATAGGGGTAGAAGGGTTATGTGAGCAAATCATAGCGGAAAACTTTCCTAACCTGGGGAAAGACACAGACATCAAAATCCAGGAAGCACAGAGGACTCCCATTAGATTCAACAAAAACTGACCATCAACAAGGCATATCATAGTCAAATTCACAAAATACTCAGGCAAGGAGAGAATCATGAAAG